ATTGTTTTGTGATTATTTTCAATTATCTCGTAATCGAGTATAGATGTACTCAACAATTTTTGTCAACTATGTTTGGTCATCCTCAACAGCAACAATGTTGTTCTTTGTAAATCATCTAGAATAACTAAACCTCCACCCTATCTTAAAGACTTTTGCTATAAGTATCCTTTGCATAATACTTCATCCTCAATGTTGTACATTTGTTGTCTAGATCCCTGTTTTATGAAAAGTTGTCTCCATCTTACAAGATATTTTTGTTGGCTCTTTCTTCTTATACTAAACCACATTTCTATCATGAAGTTGTCAAGCATCAACATTAGAAAGAAGCCATGATAGCTGAATTAGAGGTCATAGAATAAAACCATACATAGTTTGTAGGTCAATTACCACTAGGTGAGCATGTACTTAGATACAAATAGGTGTATAAAATCAAGTACAAATCTTATGGTTCCACAGAGTGTTACAAAACTCATCTAGTTGCAAAAAGCTACATATAACAAGAGGGAGTTGACTTCAATGAGACACTCCCTCCAATTGCTAAGGTAGTAAATGTCAAATTATTACTAGTATTAGTAACAACTTAATATTGACATTTAGCCCAACTCAACATTAATAATGTCTTTTTGAATGAGGACTTTTATGAAAAAGTATACTGAACTTCCCATTGACTATTATAATAAGGGGGAGCATTTAGTTTGCAGTTCACGTGTGTGCGAGCTTCATAAGTCAATTTATAAATTTAAACATGTATCAATATAGTGATATTAATAATTTATTGATATACTGTGTCAATTTGGATTTCATCAATCTAAGTCACACTATTCCTTGTTCACCAAAGGTACCCACTCCTATTCATTACTTTACTGATTTGTGTTGATGTCATTATGATTGTTGATCCCTCTCATGATGATATCAATTCCATCAAACAATAAATGTATACATGGTAGAATTGTTAGATCCTCCACTAATATATTTTTATATGAAAGACATTATATAATTAATAGAAGACATTAGATTTCTATCCTCTAAACCAATACTTAGTCTTATAGATTCTAAATCTCAATTAAATCTTCATATGACTAAATTATTATTTGATATTCCTTATTTGTAGACTTATTGGTAGACTTTTGAATATAATTATTTTCAAACCAAACATTTCTTTTGTAGTACACAAACCTAGCCAATCTGTGTCCCAACCACACCTTCTTCATCTGCAAGTAATATAGAGATTGTTTCGCTACCTTAAAACAACACTTGGATAAGAAATTTTTTTTTTTCTTCATCAAATACATTTAAATTGAAGATGTTTTTTGATGTTGATGGATCACTTTATCCTGACTCTAGAAAATCTGTCTTTGGAAATTGTATATTTCTTGAAGATTTTATGATCTCTTGAGAGCCACAAAGACTTCGTAGTTCCTAAGTCTCATCCATAAGTTGAGCATCATGTCTTAACTTTAACAACTAATGAATTGTTATGGATTAAACAACTGTTTTACGATTTTTATGTTGATATTTCACAATATGTTTTAGTTTTTTGTAATAGTCAAGTAGTCATACATATGTACTTTTAATATAGTATTTCATGAATACACTAAACACATCAAAATTAATTATCACATTATAGGAAATCAGATTCTCGTAGAACACATAAAACTTCTTTCTTTCTAGTCTCACCCCCAATTTGTAGATATGTTTACTATAATCTTATCTTCTCATGGCCAAAGTTGGTGGTTAAAAACATATTTCATCTCGAGAATGAGTATTAAAGGTATACATTGTATTTTCTCTTTCCGTTAATTAGTTAATTAGTTACTATTAATTTACTCTTATCATTATTTTTTGTGAGATATCTATGAGTGCCTTTTATATTTGATTAGTGAGATAATAATGAAGATAAAAATTTTCTTCACTGGAAATAAAAATGAAAAATATGTATATATATATATATATATAACCAATTCCAACCTAGTGCTATGCTTAGAATAAACTAATAATTTTTATGAAATTAATTTAGAAATTCACAGTTAGTATATCTCGTTAAGAAGACAAAAATTCTATTAAAAAATAACTTCAAAGACAAATTTTTAGCCTTTGATACTATTTTTTGCTATAACATATTTGGTTTTATTTTGTTATAACTTGATATTATTTTTAGATCACTATTTATCAAATCTGTTGATAATGACAGAGACAATTTTGTTCGAGTCATTTGGTATGCATCACCCTGGAGCTATAATATATATATATATATATATATATATACACACATATATATAAGAGAGTAATAATTAAAGATGTATAAAATCCAATGCGTTGTCGTTTCGATCAACATTATTTCAGACACTGTCAGTAAAAAGGTATTCTGATCCACCAAGTGACGATAATGACGAGTCAAAACAGAATATAACCGCAAAGAAATATATGCCATTCCAGTTTCCAGAATCAAATTATTTTCAACACAATTTTAGCTTCAATACAAGTTTTTTTATAGTTGGCATCCAGCAAATACCCTATCTATTACATCACCTTTATATATATACATACACACACACACACGTATATACATATAAAAATAAATGTAAATTATTAGATTTTTTTGTTCATTTAAGTTCAGACATTGTAATGTGAAAAATTTACAAGGAGCAAGCCTCTTGTTAAAGTCAAATCTGTAAACATTGAAATACTCACCAAAATGTTGTGTTTGCAAAACAATGATACGAAATTTAAGTATGTATATTTATGAGCATGTGATAATATACATATATCTGGGTGCCTCCAGCTATACATATCTTGCATGTTGATGTGTGATCTAAACTGAAAAGCACCCATAACAGGATTGTACATTTTATTGAGTAATTTATTCTAAATAATTGAGCAGAATTTCCAAAATCCAGACTAACAAAAGCTCATCCTCCACCACCTTGTCCCCTTAGATGCCCTATCATACAATATATGCATAGTATATATATATATTATATATACTGTAGACCTTGATATGTTCTATTAGTTTGTATCAGCCTGATCCCCAATCCTACATCAGAAGACATTAAAAGGTTTTTTTTTTAAATAATTAAAATATACCTGCAATCCATGCATCAAATAATGGGATACCTAATTCCTAATCCTCACAGCAAAACTAAGAGACAACTGAAGCAGCATTTTCAGCATACTTATCTCATCATAGAGGCTCATCTTTGCTAATCGGTTAGGCAATGAAAGTAATACTCTCCCCTCCCCTTAACTCTCCCAAACACAGTCATGAACAAATTCAATTCTGAAAATAGCTATTTCAACTTGCAAACCCGTATGCCGAAATTTAACCTCGGGCACATTCTACTTCGAGACCCAGATAACAAAATTCACCCTTCCGGTACTTTTAATTTCCCAATCCCAAGTCCCAAATCCATTAACAGAGATCAATTTCAGATATACTTCCAAACTGAGATAATTGAATTCTGATTTGTCTGCTTTAAAACCCGGGTACAAGCAAGATTCAATTTCATAAGCTTCAACTTGTTAAACTTAACCAAGTCAGTTTGCAGTCAAAACCTTTTCTTTCTCATTTCTAGATGGGTTTCTTATTAATTCTATAAGCTGTAACATTAGTAATACATATACCCAAACATACAACCCCTGAACGATACCCAAAACACATTCACTATCTCAAGGAGCTCAATCAAGTCTTACTAACCCAGATTATCGTTTGCCAGAAGGAGAAATGAGCTTTGGACTACAAATTTACCACACAAACAAGTGAACAGCCATGAAGCAGAACGGCTCCTCCTCTTTGATAATAAATGCCAACCAAACACGCAAGAAATTCAAAGAGATTCAATGAAGATTTTCATTTAAAAAGGAGGACATGCCTGATCCATCAATAAATAAATCGTTTATGCAATATACCTTCTCATTATGTAAGTAAAACTTAAATGATTCCTTGCAAAAAAGAATGGTGGATAAAAAAATTATCAGATTAGTAACCGGACTACAAACTACAAACAATAGAACCAGAAAAAGGGGAAAGTAAAATTAAGTTTTTGGTCCTCTACTTCGATTTTGTATACCTTGTTTCTTCTGGTTGATTTCTCCTGATTCCCCTCTCATGATTTCTGGTTCTGCATCATCTTTGTCTGCTTTTTCTTCTTCCTGTTGTTGTTGTTGCTGTCTCATACAACTATGACTTGACTTATTCATTGCACACAAGTAATCTGCCATCTTTGGAAACCCAAATATTTCTCAATTCATTAATTTAAAAACCTTTTTCAAAACTGTTATTTGGGGTAACCATTACATTACGCGTTGGATCTTCAGCTCGTGATATATACAGTTACAGGACCTAATAGAACAATTCATTTCGCTCCCTAATGAGTGACGCCCAGAAGCATAGAGATCTAATTTACTTTATCGTCGTGACAAGATTCAGGATCTCCGCCTCTCACGATCAGCCTCCATACCCCAAGACCGCCTCCGCGTTGACGAATTGAACAGAGAAAGCGATGTACTCCTTCCCAACCTTGAATCTGAACCTGAAGAAGATGATGCAGTCACACTGAAACAACCAAATAAGCTACGAAGAAACCGACCCGTCAGTCCGCCTCTATCCCTCCCTTCTCTGTTCCCTCTGGGTCCCCACGAAATCCTCCTTGGTAACCCGCCATTGTTGAATCCACCGTCCACCTCTGTATACACAACAGGCATCTCCCTCTCCGCGCCTATTCCTCCTTCACCACTGGCTCTTCTCGCGCCAGCAAACCGCCCCACCGCGAACCCACCTCTCGGGAGCCTCCAAATTGTCAGTCCTACGGCATCATCCTCGTCATCCTCGCCCCGGGCGACTCCCCCTTCCTCAAAGGTACCATCGCCATCGTCATCGGGAGGAAGCTGGTGACGGCAAACTGGACAAGAATTGCGGAGCGCTAGCCATGGGAGGATGCAATCCGAATGGTAGATGTGTTTACAAGGCATTTCACGGGCCACTGTCCCCAACTCGAAAATTTCTTTGCACACGGCGCAGTTCGATTGAGACTCCGTCTCGAGATGGATCGTGTTGACCTCTATAGATGGAAGAGCCTCGATCGCGGCTTTTGACGCCGGCGGATGCTCGCACCTACCGTTGTTGCTGCCGATGTTGTTGACATCGATTTGCGAAATCTGGTCAAGCAGCCGGTCAAAACCAGGTCCCAATAAAAACTCCGACATATTCGGCGGCAACGGCCGCAACCCTGAACCCCCACCGTCATCGTAGTAAAGCTGGAATCCACGATCCACGGGAGGTACGGCGCCGCCGCCGCTGCCGAAGTCATCAGACCGTCTAGATGACCCGCCGCCTCCACCGCGTAGGACGATGACCGGGTTGAAAGGCGAGCGGTCGCCTCCATTCCGGCGGCTTCTACGAACAATCGTCCCTCGACTGCTGGTACCTCGACCGGGTTCGTCGATGTTAATGTCGCTGTTCTCCGCGCTACTCGTGCTGGCGGTTGACCAGTTGCTTCCTCCTCCAATCATGTGCATCTCGGCCGCAGAGAACCTCCTACTACCTCGGCGTTGACGGTAGGAGTCAGCCATAAAGCGACGTGGCGACTCGTCGATCTCCTCCACAAACCCGCCGTCGCAGTCCGGGCACGTGACCGGCTCCCGGTTCCACACTCGGACGAACCTGCTACACCTGTAGCACCAATAAGACGTTGTTGCCATCCGTTCTCTTTCCTTCTTTTTCTCCTGTTTTCTTGCGGATCTGATTACAGATATTCAAACAGAATCAAAAGCGAAGGACAAAAAAGGTTCAATTCCATGAAAAAACCAACATTTTTCCCACGGGAAAGTGAACTGCGGTGGCGTTTGGGGAGAAAAACCTTCAAGGATTTCGGGGAGAATCCAAGAAAATTTAAAAGGGAACGAGAAGGGAGGAGTTGCGGATGGGGAAAAGGAAGGGCGTCAGAGAGAGGAATATAAGGGAAGGGGCGTATTAACGGCTACACCGCTTTAGCGTGAGGACAACGAAGAAATTGGTGCCTCGTGGCGGATTTTTATTTGGTGAAGAAGACGGCGTTAATAAAACGTTAAAGAGATTGAAATTGCAAAAATCAGGCGGTTAATTTAATTATTTATTTTTTTAAAGGGGTGTGAATTAAATGTAGCGGATTAAAACCTTGCAAGCGTAGCTGTCTTGGAATATATGGCGCCTCTGGTTAACGTTAAATTTGGTTTAAAAGATGTGGAAGTTTTTCGGTGCTTCGGTCGTAGGGGGAGCTCAAACACTTGATTACGTGGCGAAATACTATTGGTTGTGAATTTCGACAAGAACAAATTTGACATTGTTGCTATGTAACATGAGCTCACTTTGTCTTAAACCAAATCTCCATTATTTTAATTACCCAAAAAAATCAGTATTACCTTAATTTAATTAAAAATTTAAAGTGAAATAATTATTATCGACTTAAATACTTTTTCTTTAATTTTTTTGTTTTTGCTTTTTTTTTTTGGTATTTTAAAGTATGCAATTAAAATTTTAATATCTTATTAGTATTTTGATATTTTAAAGTAAAGTTATTTATTCTAAATATAATTTTAAAAATGTTTATCTATTCTCCTTGCTAGAATTTACAGTAATAATGGTTTCACTTTCCTTCCAAAATAATCATTTTAAATACTTCAAATATTTTATTTTTTTCAGTGTTATAATATAACCAAATTTACTGAAATAATGTCTTATTTATATATATATATTAAATTAATTATGAAAATAATTATTAATTCATTTACAGCACTATCACAAAATTATCTGAGAACAGCAAAATAAATAAATAAATATTTTTAAAAAGAGCGATCAATATCCAGTTGCGCGCGTGAAGGTAAGCGAGAGCGGACACGAGTTACGATGCCGAGTCACTATCTTGGCAAAGCAGCTGTCCGACACGTCATCATGAGACCGTATCTCACGCTTCCATGTCTTTTGTGGAAAGCTGCCACCTCATATGCAACTTGCAGTTAATCTGTTTCTCTGATTTACAATTTCCAGTTTCAATTATTATTATTATTATTATTTTTATTTTCATTTTCATTTTCTCTCATCTGAAAAAAGGAATATTTTTATTTTTTAATAAATTTATTATGGTCGGTCTTTAGAAAAGAATATACAATATAATGATGTCGCCAATATTGGATTCTAAAAATTAGTTTTAATTATGCTTAATAATTTGATTTTCTAATACTAGTATTAAAATCACTGTTTATTAATTATTCATAAATTACTTCCATTATTATAATTACATCATAAGATTTTTATTTCATACTCATGACAATATTTATATTGACAATCATTATGTGCAATTATATTGTAAATTTTGAAAAATAAATCATAAAATCTAAACTTATTCGGATTATGTTTGAAATAAATTGAGAAATATTGTTAAATTCATATATAAATTCATTATTAATTCGATAAAACATGTAAATTATAATTCAATTACAAAAAAATAGTTATTTGATTAATCACAAGCATACTATTTTAGTTTTTTTTTGTTGTATTAATTAAAGTTTTTATTTTATTTTAAATAAAAGTTTTATAATTCTATTTATATGCAAATAAATTAAGTACAAATTTAAATTTATATTAAAAATAACATAATTATAAATTTAAATATATATCATCGAGTATTAGAGGATTTCATGTTATATGTATTTATTTATTATAACATATGAAAATAATATAAAATAAATTACATAATACAGTAATATTTTATCAATAGATGTTACATGTCAATTATAAAATTAATTTGAATATGGATTTTTATAAAAATTAATTTATTTTTTCACCCTTTTCTCCCATATACATATAGTAACATAGATTAATTGATAGATTAATAGGGTAGCATGCCTTGTTAGTTTTTAAATAAATTAATGCTAATAGAGTTAGACAAAAATAATTTGCAGCTTTTGAGATGTTGCACATGGAAAGCTCATATCATAAATAATGTATTCCTTGAGAAAACTTCCAAGGAGTTGTCTTGATGTTGATTGTGATACTTACGTCTCAATACATTTTATATATACCCTACTAAAACTTATAAAGTATTGTTATAATCTATATGTATTTTCATTGGATAAGATTAAAATATTATATATAACTGTAACGATCATAAAAATTATAAAGAAAATAAATTATAAATTTAGTGCGGAAGCAAAATAAAAATTAGAATTTACATTCCTTACACAATAACTAACAGTACCAAATATGACTTACGAGAATAATTATTTTAAAAAAACAATTAATAACCAAAGAAATAAATTAAAAGTAAACGACTGAACGTTCTACTCGCAATTCTCCTGTGGATCGGGCTCTGGATCCTAGTCCTTTTGATATTAAATGATTAATGAAAGAATAAGCTATACTAACACAGTAAGAATATTATGTTACTCACTTACACAGAAATGAAGATTGGTAGAAATAATAAAAATAATTAATGGAGCTCTTAATTAAGCAAAATCGTTTATTATGAATAAAATCATTTACCGTTTACTTACCGTAGTGAAATTTACCAAAACAACCTATAGAAGTAATAACATAGCACATATTATAATTTCATATGTAATCGGTTAGAACAACAATTTTCTCTTTTATCAGCTTACCGGTATCCATAGGGATGTCCACACAACGCGTGAACCTTTTCCTTTAACATTTTTACTTAACATGCCATTTTCATACCCCGTTCGGTATAAGGGTGAAGCAGGCCGTCCCCATACCCCATTCAGTATGAGTGCCAAATTACCAAACCTCGATACTCTATCCGGTATGAGGCAACGTTCATGGTAGGGTTCTCTATGTACCCAGTCCGTCCACCATCTCTTAGGATATCCAGTAAAACTGTTGTTTCATCCATTCACTTGCTCAAACAGTTTTCTAACTTCCTTTAAATTTTTAGCTTCTCAATTCAATCATAATCACATTAAGCAAACAATACATGCATTCAAACTACAAGATCAATCAATCAAGTATTATCATGCATTCAAACTGTAAAATAACTCAACAAAATCAACAGTGAATAATTTTCAGTCATACCTCAATTAGTGACCCGTAATTAATTATGAATATTTTTTAAAATTTTCAAAACACTGTATTATTATGAATAATTAGATTTCAATTCCATAACAGATAATAAGGTGATGGATTCTTACTCAATTCGATACTCGAAATGCTAAACTTGTTAGTTGTTCCTACTGGCGGTCCCCAAATTCCCTAAATTTTTTTTCGGGAATTAAAACACGCTTCAAGTATCTAGAAATATCCCAAAAACCCAAAATCAGTGTTAGGACCACCTTTTGGCAAATTTCAGAATTACGTCATGGTAGCTATGCCGTGCTCCGGCGACGGCACCACCGTCTGCGGTGGCAGTTTGCCTCGGATCGGTTATTTTCGACCGGTTTTATATCAATCCCCATGAGAAAATACGTTAAGGGGTCCCGGTTAGTAAAAAAAATTGAAAAATCGAAACTTACAGGTGGCGGGGTTCTCCAGTGCGGCAGCTCCATCAGCTCACATTTGCGGTTGGGTGTTTTGCTTCAGTCAGCCTATAAAGAAAGGAACGGTCATTACAATGGTGAAAAAATTACACAAAATGGGAAACGGGAAGGGTCTCATCGGAAACGATTTTTACAATTTTTTGCAGCGGTGTCACCGGATTTTGCCTGCAGTTTTCGACCAATCAATTGGTCCTTTTGCTCTAATTTGGCCATTGAAGTGTTTAAAATCAAATTTCGAGCAAATGATAAATTTTTTACCTCTTTTGGCTGTCAGAAGTGGTTCTGGCACGGTGGTGGGTAGTAGCGACTTCCTTCCCGGCGGCTGGGTCTTTTTCTCCGAGGGGGAGGGGGTTTCTGACAGCTAAGGTTAGGATTTAGTGTGAAGAGGGTTATTTATATCTATCCTCATTTAATCTGGACCGTTCATCGCATTTGATCTAAACTGTCCGATCGCGATTAAATTTGGAGTGAATTTTGGCCGTAATCGCAATCTGATCTAAACTGTCCGATTGAGTTTAAATAGAAAGTGGATCTGAATCGTTGATTGTATTTAAATCTGACTGTCCGATCGCGTTTGAAA